AAAGTACAGAGTATGGAGTAACAGTGAGTATTGCAGCAGTCTAGGATTCTGCTTTACCTCCTGAAAATGGAAGAAATAAGTACATGGGGGTTGTAGACGCATGGAGGCTGCAGCCATTGGGTGCCTGGACCATCAGGACTGCACTGTGGGGCGGGGCTGTGTTCATTCAGGACTGGATGGACAGAAATACAAATCCTTTGAAAGGTAAAACAGCTCCCTGTTCTGTATTCCATCCATTGTCCTGGAGGAGGAAAAGGAGAGGAGGGGGGTGTCAGTGGAAGGGATAGTGGGGTCATAATTCCTTCCACTGACACCAACAATGGGGGGTATAATTCCTTCCACTGAAACCAACAATGGGGGCGTAATTCCTTCCACTGACACCAACAATGGGGGGCGTAATTCCTTCCACTGACATCAACAACGGGAGCGTAATTTCTTCCTTCCACTGACATCAACAATGGGGGGGCTTCTAATGGGGCGTTTCTTCCACTGACACCAACAATGGGGGGGCATAATTGACACCAACAATGGGGGCGTAATTCCTTCAGTTGACACCAACAATGGGGCATAATTCCTTCCACTGACACCAACAATGGGGGGCGTAATTCCTTCTGTTGACCAACAATGGGGGGCGTAATTCCTTCCACTGACACCAACAATGGGGGCGTAATTCCTTCAGTTGACACCAACAATGGGGCGTAATTCCTTCCACTGACACCAACAATGGGGGGCGTAATTCCTTCTGTTGACACCAACAATGGGGGCGTAATTCCTTCCACTGACACCAACAATGGGGGGCGTAATTCCTTCTGTTGACACCAACAATGGGGGGCGTAATTCCTTCCACTGACACCAACAATGGGGGGGCGTAATTCCTTCCACTGACACCAACAATGGGGGCGTAATTCCTTCCACTGACACCAACAATGGGGGCGTAATTCCTTCCACTGACACCAACAATGGGGGCGTAATTCCTTCCACTGACACCAACAATGGGGGCGTAATTCCTTCCACTGACACCAACAATGGGGGCGTAATTCCTTCCACTGACACCAACAATGGGGGCGTGATTCCTTCCACTGACACCAACAATGGGGCGTAATTCCTTCCACTGACACCAACAATGGGGGGCGTAATTCCTTCCGTTGACACCAACAATGGGGCGTAATTCCTTCCACTGACACCAACAATGGGGGCGTAATTCCTTCCGTTGACACCAACAATGGGATTGACACCAACAACGGGGGCATAATTCCTTCCACTGACACCAAAGGATCCATCCAGTTCTGAGATTTACAGAGCTCTGTCACAATGTAACTTCCAGGAGCCGGGACAAGGAGCTTACACTCTAAAACATGATCCGGCGTCCAATACGTCCGCCTTCACCTTCCTGGGCCCCCCGATGGCTGACACATTCCTCATTGCTCTGGGAATACTGGAAGCCGGATGGTCTCTGAGCGGCCCTGGAGTCATTATATTTCATGAATGCGGAACAGATGATTTGTATCAACACCAGAGACAACCGTCCGCAGCGCCCCATACACAGCCCCCATACACAGCGCCCCATACACAGCGCCCCATACACAGCGCCCATACACAGCGCCCCATACACAGCGCCCCATACACAGCGCCCCATACACAGCGCCCATACACAGCGCCCATACACAGCGCCCATCTGACGTCAATCCTCGCTCACCGCGTCATCTTCCCGTCAAAAAAAAAAAAAAAAAAAAAAAAAAAAAAAAAAAAAAAAAAAAAAAAAAAAAAAAAAAAAAAAAAAAAAAAAAAAAAAAAAAAAAAAAAAAAAAAAAAAAAAAAAAAAAAAAAAAAAAAAAAAAAAAAAAAAAAAAAAAAAAAAAAAAAAAAAAAAAAAAAAAAAAAAAAAAAAAAAAAAAAAAAAAAAAAAAAAAAAAAAAAAAAAAAAAAAAAAAAAAAAAAAAAAAAAAAAAAAAAAAAAAAAAAAAAAAAAAAAAAAAAAAAAAAAAAAAAAAAAAAAAAAAAAAAAAAAAAAAAAAAAAAAAAAAAAAAAAAAAAAAAAAAAAAAAAAAAAAAAAAAAAAAAAAAAAAAAAAAAAAAAAAATAAAAAAAAAAAAAAAAAAAAAAAAAAAAAAAAAAAAAAAAAAAAAAAAAAAAAAAAAAAAAAAAAAAAAAAAAAAAAAAAAAAAAAAAAAAAAAAAAAAAAAAAAAAAAAAAAAAAAAAAAAAAAAAAAAAAAAAAAAAAAAAAAAAAAAAAAAAAAAAAAAAAAAAAAAAAAAAAAAAAAAAAAAAAAAAAAAAAAAAAAAAAAAAAAAAAAAAAAAAAAAAAAAAAAAAAAAAAAAAAAAAAAAAAAAAAAAAAAAAAAAAAAAAAAAAAAAAAAAAAAAAAAAAAAAAAAAAAAAAAAAAAAAAAAAAAAAAAAAAAAAAAAAAAAAAAAAAAAAAAAAAAAAAAAAAAAAAAAAAAAAAAAAAAAAAAAAAAAAAAAAAAAAAAAAAAAAAAAAAAAAAAAAAAAAAAAAAAAAAAAAAAAAAAAAAAAAAAAAAAAAAAAAAAAAAAAAAAAAAAAAAAAAAAAAAAAAAAAAAAAAAAAAAAAAAAAAAAAAAAAAAAAAAAAAAAAAAAAAAAAAAAAAAAAAAAAAAAAAAAAAAAAAAAAAAAAAAAAAAAAAAAAAAAAAAAAAAAAAAAAAAAAAAAAAAAAAAAAAAAAAAAAAAAAAAAAAAAAAAAAAAAAAAAAAAAAAAAAAAAAAAAAAAAAAAAAAAATAAAAAAAAAAAAAAAAAAAAAAAAAAAAAAAAAAAAAAAAAAAAAAAAAAAAAAAAAAAAAAAAAAAAAAAAAAAAAAAAAAAAAAAAAAAAAAAAAAAAAAAAAAAAAAAAAAAAAAAAAAAAAAAAAAAAAAAAAAAAAAAAAAAAAAAAATAAAAAAAAAAAAAAAAAAAAAAAAAAAAAAAAAAAATAAAAAAAAAAAAAAAAAAAAAAAAAAAAAAAAAAAAAAAAAAAAAAAAAAAAAAAAAAAAAAAAAAAAAAAAAAAAAAAAAAAAAAAAAAAAAAAAAAAAAAAAAAAAAAAAAAAAAAAAAAAAAAAAAAAAAAATTAAAAAAAAAAAAAAAAAAAAAAAAAAAAAAAAAAAAAAAAAAAAAAAAAAAAAAAAAAAAAAAAAAAAAAAAAAAAAAAAAAAAAAAAAAAAAAAAAAAAAAAAAAAAAAAAAAAAAAAAAAAAAAAAAAAAAAAAAAAAAAAAAAAAAAAAAAAAAAAAAAAAAAAAAAAAAAAAAAAAAAAAAAAAAAAAAAAAAAAAAAAAAAAAAAAAAAAAAAAAAAAAAAAAAAAAAAAAAAAAAAAAAAAAAAAAAAAAAAACGGCTAAAAAAAAAAAAAAAAAAAAAAAAAAAAAAAAAAAAAAAAAAAAAAAAAAAAAAAAAAAAAAAAAAAAAAAAAAAAAAATAATATATAATAATAATAATAATAATAAATATATAAGTTATTATTTTATATATAAAAATAATGTCCAAAAGGAGAAGAGGAACTGACACGCTCTGTAAGATTCCTCACTAGAATTTTAAAAAAAAAAATGTAAAAAAAAAAAAAGTTAAAAAATAAATAAATAAAAATCATAACAAAAAAAAAAAATATGTTATTATTTCTATTATATGAAAATTAAAAAAAATAAAAAAAAATAGTTAAAAAAATAAATAAAAAAAAAAAATATAATAAAAAATAAATATTATTTTATTATATAATAAATAATATATACGTTATAATTTCTATGATATAAAAATCATGTCCGCGGAGAAGAGAGGAACTGACACTGTAAGTTTCCTGACTAGAAAATTTTTAAATTTTAAAAAAAAATTATTATTAAATATTAATAATAATAATAAAAAAAAAAAAAAAAAAATAAAAAAATAATAAAAATAAAATAAAATAAAAAATAATAATAAATAATAATATAAAATAAATTATTATTATATAAAAATTAGATAATAAATCATTTTTAAAAAAATCAAATAGAAAAAAAATAATGATGATGATGATGATGATAATAATAATAATAAATGAAATACAAAGGACAGAACATTCAGAAAAATCCCCCCACCCCCCATACAGACTCCCCTTCCCAGTGTAGACGCCTCAGAACAGTTGTCCCAGACAGACTTGGGGGGGATCTGTCCTAGGGGACAACTGTTCTGAGGCGTCTACACTGAGAAGGGGAGTCTGTATGGGGGGGGGTGGGGGGGATTTTTCTGAGTGTTTCTGTCCTTTGTTTTTATATTATTATATTATCATCATCATCATCATCATTATTTTTTCTATTTGATTTTTTTTAAAAATTATTTATTATATAATTATTTTATTTAATAATAATAATAATAATAATAATAATAATAATAAAATTTATTTTTATTTATTTATTATTAGTTTTATTATTTATTTTAAATAACAAACCCATCAGAACAGTGACCCCTCAATACAGACTCCCCTCCCCAGAACAGACCCCTCAGGTTAGTCACCCACCACCAGTACAGACCCTCCAGGGCAGACAACAGACCCCCCCCCCCCCCCCCCAGAACAGTCAGCCCCTCCTTCCCCAGTACAGACTCCCCTCCCCAGTACAAACCCCTTAGGACAGTCTTCCTCCCCCAATACAGACCCCCCACAAATGTGAATGGACCCTGAAAGAATGATCGATATGATGCCAGCCGATCCAGCTGATAGGGAGACACAACACAAGCAGTTGGATTGGATTATATTTTCCAAAAAGAGACTCCTGATTGGCAGGCTGACAGGTGAATTGACAAACTTAAAAAAAAAGCAATCAAATAAAATAAATTCCTTTTTTTTTTTAATTTTCATTCAAATTAGACAAAACACTGAAAACTGAAGGAACATTTTTTTTTTCACAAAAGCTTAATTAGTGGAAAATGTGGAAAATGGTTTTTAAAAAAAAAAAGCCTTTAAAATGAAAATGAATCTTTGCAGTTTTTGCTCTTCGCTGCGTCTGGCGTGGTCTTCGCGGTGAGAGATTACGCCGCGGTCAAACCTGTTTCTGCATCGTGACTTTGATGGCGCTGAAGGCCCTTCCCAAGGCTTCGAACAGCGGGTCGCAGAAGGTGTGGACGCAGAGGGAGAACGTCCTGCCGACGCACTGGATCTCGATCAGGTAGCTCTTGACGCAGGGCACCACCGTCCAGATGTGGCAGAATGAGATCAGGGCGAAGAGGACCCCCCAGAGGATGGACAGGGGGATGCCGATCACAGCCGAGAGCAGCCGGTAAAACCAGTACTTGGTGACGGTGAACGTGGTGTAGCTGGCCTTCCAGACGCCATCAAAGCTGTGAACGCCGTACGGCTCTGCGATGACGTCTTCAAAATCTACTGGAAGGAAAAAAAAATCACATAAACTGATCGCCTATACTTTCAAATTCAACATACAACTGTCATATATGATGTAGTATAGGGTGACCAGATGTCCCTGATTTTAGGTGGGTGTCCCCAGGAGAAAGTGTCCCTGAATTTGTCCCCATTTCTCTGATGGGATCCCTGACTCATGGACTGCATATAATCTGCCTGGCTACAATTTGCTTGGGAGGCTCTTTGTGCTTCACTGACTTTTGACCTTTTGCTCCTTGCATTACTTACTTCTGACCTCTGCACTTAGTGGATATTTTACTCCTGACCTCTGGATGTTGTGCATTACTTACTCCTGACCTCTGGACTTTGTGTGTTTTTTTACTCCTGACCTCTGGACGTTGTGCATTACTTACTCCTGATCCCTGCACTCTGTGCATTAATGACTCCTGACTTCTGGACGTTGTGCATTACTTACTCCTGACCTCTGGACGTTGTGCATTACTTACTCCTGACCTCTGGACGTTGTGGCATTAATTACTCCTGACCTCTGGACGTTGTGCATTACTTACTCCTGACCTCTGGATGTTGTGCATTACTTACTCCTGACCTCTGGACTTTGTGCATTATTATTACTCCTGACCTCTGGACGTTGTGCATTACTTACTCCTGACCTCTGGATGTTGTGCATTACTTACTCCTGACCTCTGGATGTTGTGCATTACTTACTCCTGACCTCTGGACGTTGTGCATTACTTACTCCTGACCTCTGGACGTTGTGCATTACTTACTCCTGACTTCTGGACGTTTGTGCATTAATTACTCCTGACCTCTGGACGTTGTGCATTAATTTACTCCTGACTTCTGGACGTTGTGCATTACTTACTCCTGACGTCGGGACGTTGTGCATTAATTACTCCTGACCTCGGGACGTTGTGCATTACTTACTCCTAACTTCTGGACGTTGTGCATTACTTACTCCTGACCTCTGGACTTTGTGCATTACTTACTCCTGACTTCTGGACGTTGTGCATTACTTACTCCTGACTTCTGGACGTTGTGCATTACTTACTCCTGACCTCGGGACGTTGCGCATTACTTACTCCTGACCTCTGGACGTTGTGCATTACTTACTCCTGACCTCTGGACTTTGCGCATTACTTACTCCTGACCTCTGGACGTTGTGCATTACTTACTCCTGACCTCTGGACTTTGTGCATTACTTACTCCTGACCTCTGGACATTGTGCATTAATTACTCCTGACTTCTGGACGTTGTGCATTACTTACTCCTGACTTCTGGACGTTGTGCATTACTTACTCCTGACCTCTGGACTTTGTGCATTACTTACTCCTGACCTCTGGACATTGTGCATTACTTACTCCTGACCTCTGGACTTTGCGCATTACTTACTCCTGACCTCTGGACTTTGTGCATTACTTACTCCTGACCTCTGGACTTTGCGCATTACTTACTCCTGACCTCTGGACTTTGTGCATTTACTTACTCCTGACCTCTGCGCATTACTTACTCCTGACCTCTGGACGTTGTGCATTACTTACTTCTGACCTCTGGACGTTGTGCATTACTTACTCCTGAGCTCTGGACGTTGTGCATTACTTACTCCTGACCTCTGGACGTTGCGCATTACTTACTCCTGACCTCTGGACGTTGTGCATTACTTACTCCTGACCTCTGGACGTTGCGCATTACTTACTCCTGACCTCTGGACGTTGTGCATTACTTACTCCTGACCTCTGGACGTTGCGCATTACTTACTCCTGACCTCTGGACGTTGTGCATTACTTACTCCTGAGCTCTGGACGTTGTGCATTATTTACTCCTGACCTCTAGACTTTGTGTGTTTTCTCTCCACTGATCCCCACTGAGCAAGTGGATGACATCTTGCTGTTTTCTATGGGGAGGTCAGATGGAAATGGTCCGCCTGTCCGCTTCCACCCAACTGTCATCCAATCCAAACCACCAATGGATGGGCAACGGATCCCCATCTGTCTGTATTTAGCTTACAGGATTGGATCAGATGCCGGCAGGTGTCAGTGGACACATGTTTGCTGACACCCATTGGTCCATAGAGAGCTATGGATGGTCCAATCCGGTCCGGCTGAAAAACTGACAGGTGGACCCAATCGGACTGTCAGTGTGAAGGGGGCCTTACTCCTGACCCTGGCACTCTGCATTACTTACTTCTGACCCATGCACTCTGCGCATTACTTACTCCTGACCCTGGCACTCTGCGCATTACTTACTCCTGACCCTGGCACTCTGCGCATTACTTACTCCTGACCCTGGCACTCTGCGCATTACTTACTCCTGACCCCGGAACTCTGCGCATTACTTACTCCTGACCCTGGCACTCTTTGCATTACTTACTCCTGACCCTGGCACTCTGCATTACTTACTCCTGACCCTGGCACTCTGCGCATTACTTACTCCTGACCCTGGCACTCTGCGCATTACTTACTCCTGACCCTGGCACTCTGCGCATTACTTACTCCTGACCCTGGCACTCTGCGCATTACGTACTCCTGACCCTGGCACTCTGCATTACTTACTCCTGACCCTGGCACTCTGCATTACTTACTCCTAACCCTGGCACTCTGCATTACTTACTCCTGACCCTGGCACTGGTGCATTACTTATTCCTGACCCTGGCACTGGTGCATTACTTACTCCTGACCCTGGCACTGGTGCATTACTTATTCCTGACCCCTGCACTCTGTGCATTAATGACTCCTGACCCTGGCACTCTGCATTATTTACTCCTGACCCTGGCACTCTGCATTACTTATTCCTGACCCTGGCACTGGTGCATTAATGACTCCTGACCCTGGCACTGGTGCATTAATGACTCCTGACCCTGGCACTGGTGCATTATAAACTCTGGACCCAGAGCAGAGTATCTTAAGGAATTATTTGACCATACCCCTTTAGGTCCCCTCCCACCCAATAAATGTAGGTGTGGTCAGTAAAGCGTCGCCAGACTTCATTTTGACCATCTGGTCACCCTAATCTAGTATAACATAGGATTCCAGAACAATACACACAATGAATGGATTTGGACCAGGGGTGCTCAACCCTATAAGGACCCCCTATAAGGACCAGGGCCCATTAAAATTCTTTCATAATCTTCCATGCCATGCCCAACAGTAAAAAAGTTAATATACAATAAAAGTATGGGAATGCAAGATATGAAATAGTGGACGGCTCTGGAGAGGGCTGGGTGTCACTCTGGAGGGTGGGGTTTTCTGGGGGGCTAAGGGATTCTGTAGCAGACTCGGTGGCCCTGTAGAGTATCAGGATTCTGGAGGGGGCTGGGGTCTCTCTGGGAGGCTGGAGGATTTGCAAGGGATATTGTGGGAGACTGGAGGGCTCTGTGGGGGCTGGGTGGTGCTGTGGGATACTGTTGGAGGTTGGGGGCTCTGCACAATACTGGGGGTCACTCTGGGGGTGGGGCTTCTGGAAGGGGCCAGAGGACTCTGTAGCAGACTCTGTGGCCCTGTAGACTGTGAGGAACCTGGAGGAGTGTGGGTCTCTTTGAAAGACTGGAGGCTTTGCATGGGTATTGTGGGAGACTGGAGGGCACTGTGGTTGGGAGGTGCTGTTGGAGGTTGGGGGCTCTGCACAAGGCTGGGGGTGTCACTCTGGGGGCGGGGCTTCTGGAAGGGGCCAGGGGACTCTGTAGCAGACTCGGTGGCCCTGTAGAGTATGAGGAACCTGGAGGGGGCTGGGGTCATTCTGAGAGACTTTGCAAAGGTACAGTGGAAGACTGGAGGGCACTGTGAGGCACTGTGGTATTTACTGCGAGGCACTGTGGGACTTACTGCGGGGGGCACTGTGGGAATTACTGCGGGGCACTGTGGGAATTACTGCGGGCACTGTGGGAATTACTGGCGGGCACTGTGGGAATTACTGCGGGGCACTGTGGGAATTACTGCGGAGCACTGTGGGAATTACTGCGGGGCACTGTGGGAATTACTGCGGGGCACTGTGGGAATTACTGCGGGGCACTGTGGGAATTACTGCGGGCACTGTGGGAATTACTGCGGGCACTGTGGGAATTACTGCGGGGCACTGTGGGAATCACTGCAGGCACTGTGGGAATTACTGCGGGGCACTGTGGGAATTACTGCAGGCACTGTGGGAAATTACTGCGGGCACTGTGGGACTTACTGCGGGCACTGTGGGAATTACTGCGGGGCACTGTGGGAATTACTGTGGAGCACTGTGGGAATTACTGTGGAGCACTGTGGGAATTACTGCGGGTACTGTGGGAATTACTGCGGGGCACTGTGGGAATTACTGTGGAGCACTGTGGGAATTACTGTGGAGCACTGTGGGAATTACTGCGGGCACTGTGGGAATTGTTGTGGAGCACTGTGGGAATTACTGCAGGAATTATTGCGGGGCACTGTGGGAATTACTGCGGGCACTGTGGGAATTACTGCGGGGCACTGTGGGAATTACTGCGGGCACTGTGGGAATTACTGCGGGGCACTGTGGGAATCACTGCAGGCACTGTGGGAATTACTGTGGGCACTGTGGGGATTACTGCGGGGCACTGTGGGAATCACTGCGGGCACTGTGGGAATTACTGCGGGCACTGTGGGAATTACTGCGGGCACTGTGGGAATTACTGTGGAGCACTGTGGGAATTACTGCGGGCACTGTAGGAATTACTGTGGAGCACTGTGGGAATTACTGCGGGCACTGTGGGAATTGTTGTGGAGCACTGTGGGAATTACTGCGGGGCACTGTGGGAATTACTGTGGAGCACTGTGGGAATTACTGTGGAGCACTGTGGGAATTACTGCGGGCACTGTGGGAATTGTTGTGGAGCACTGTGGGAATTACTGCAGGCACTGTGGGAATTACTGCGGGGCACTGTGGGAATTACTGCAGGCACTGTGGGAATTACTGCGGGGCACTGTGGGAATTACTGCAGGCACTGTGGGAATTATTGTGGGGCACTGTGGGAATTACTGCGGGCACTGTTGGAGGCAATATAGG